TACCCAGTGACATGCCAATTAGCGCTTCAAATATATCACTCTGTTGACTCCCGTTTTTGGGTTTGTATCCCTCTCTTCACCCCTCCCACCCTGAAATTCCTGGCTTAACCTCTGCAACGACACCCTGTATTGTTAAGGTTTTAAGCATAGTACCGTGCTTACTGTAAAAAAGTGTGCGGTGTTGAGTTTAATGAGCAATTAATTACTAATTATTATATAGACAGCACTTCTTTATTTTTGTCACATATGCACTAAAATCGAGAATTTTTGGGTCTTTTAGAATTTAGATGCGCATGAAAAAAATCAGGGAGATTCGCAACTTAGATTTGGTGTCGTCCATTATGATAATACCTGCGCCCGCGCCTGTGTATGTTGTACATGTATCAGCACGCAAGTGTATGAGTGAGTGGTGTGTGTGTGTGTGTGTGTGTGTGTGTGTTTATGTGTGTGTGTTAGTCATCTTGTACACTAATAATCTGGCTCGCGTTAAGGTGAACGAACCCAAAATAGAAAACCAGAACTATTGAGTAAATTTTGTTACTGGAAAAAATGCTTTTTTTTCTTCCAGACACGACTTCTTTGTTACCTGTATTGTCCTTTAATACGCCTACTTAATATTATAATTAACTATGAGCTGTTCATTTCATAGGCTGAGAGCAGAAAAAGACGAATTATTCATTAACATTTTTAATGACAACAGATTCAATATATGTTTTACTCAGATGCGAAACTCGACCTTGCGTGTTACCGTATAGCTATTCACATATAAGCAGTGTTCTTTTCTCTTTCCGCACCACCTTGTGTTCTTTTTCTTCTTCTTCTTCTTCCTCTTCTTCTTCTTCTTCTTTTTCTTCTTCTTCTTCTTCCTCTTCTTCTTCTTCTTCTTCTTCTTTTTCTTCTTCTTCTTCTTCTTCTTCTTCTTCTTCTTCTTCTTCTTCTTCTTCTTCTTCTTCTTCTTCTCCTCCTCCTCCTCCTCATCCTCCTCCTCCTTCTCTTCCTCCTCCTCCTCCCCCTCCTCTTTCTCCTTCTCCTTCTCCTTCTTCTTCTTCTTCTTCTTCTTCTTCTTCTTCTTCTTCTTCTTCTTCTTCTTCTTCTTCTTCTTCTTCTTCTTCTTCTTCTTCTTCTTCTTCTTCTTCTTCTTCTTCTTCTTTTCAGCACGCATTAACTCTTCTCTCACTTTCACTCTCTCTCTCACCCTCTCTCTCTCTCTCTCTCTCTCTCTCTCTCTCTCTCTCTCTCTCTCTCTCTCTTTCTCTCCTGTACACACACACACACACACACGCACACGCACACACGCATACACACACACACACACACACACAAACACACACACTTACATACACACTCGCACACACATACACACACATACATTAACATCCCATCAAAATGCGTGCAGGGGGCTCTCGTGGCCTAGAGGTTAAGGTGTTGGCCTCTCATTCAAAGGTCCCGGGTTCGAATTCGGGTAGCGACCGAAAAATTTTCTTCTCTAAAATTGTCTCCTTTCACCTCCTTTCCTGCTCTCTAGCAATGCTCTGTTGTCTGCTTTCATTTCCACTTTCTGCCCGCACCCCCTCACCTCCTTTGCCCCCTCCTCTGGGCTCCTGACTCTTTCTGCAGCCTTTCTACTGCTACTCCTTGGCTCCTCCCTACTGCTGTCTTTCTGCCACACCCCTGATCTTCTGGTAGGAAAGATCTACACATAGCCTTCTCGGGCAAGGGCGAAAAATCTCGGAGGGCCCGTGTGCAAGTTGCGCACGTTAAAGATCCCTTGGTGGTCTAAAATCGATAAGAGTAGGCTTCGGCCGCCACCCGGGCAAAATTCAAACTTTCCTACCAACTGAAAATTTTAGATGTGTCCCGCGCGCTCATATGACCTTATGCAGTTGCGAGCGCCGTAAAACACTTTACAAAAACAAAAACAAAGAATGCGTGCACATCTTCCAAAGCGCCTTTCTTTACGTTGCGTCGATATGAGAAACGGTGTTTGTGGTTAGGCTTGTCAGTTTCAACATAAACGATCATACAAAGGAAAATGTTCATAATGACACCTTGTAAAATACTCTCTTTGTGTATTCTGCAAATATTCTTTCAGCGCATATAAATCTTTTGCAATGTGAAAGTTGATACGTGCCACTTTCAAGACTGCATAACAAATGAAAGGGAAGCGTAGCGCAGTTTGAAATCATGTGCGTTGTTGTATAGGTTTGAGAACGCATATGTGAGGCAGCGTGGTGGAATCAGGCTCTCGTCAATTTTTGGGCATGTAGAGTTATTGGTATCATCTTATAGCTTGTTCATTTGTCTTTATTTGAATGAAAAAGATTTCCATTTATCTTAAAAACAAGTCGAGATATTTGCGAAAGAAGGAGGTGGGGGTCATCTATTTTCAGAGGTAAAATTATTAAGAAAATGGCCGCCAAAGAATAGTTATTTCCTTAGCTTAAGAGTCCATGGTAACTGAAAAGGATCATTTTTGTACCTTTAATCATTGTTTTTCAGAAAAATCCACACAGAAATGAGTTCTCTAATGGGCATGAAAGGTGTTGAGCCAAAAAACAAAAATTTGATAAAAATTCACAAACCGGTGCCAAAATGGAAGTTTTTTCACTTTGATTATTTTGACGACAGTCTGATTCCACCACGCTGCCTCACATAATATATGAACTTCTTTTCAAAGCGGGCATTTTGTTTGATAAAGTGAGAAAATTAACAAACTGTTGGAAGACGCAAAAAAGGGGGACAGGGGTGAGAGGTGGGGGGTGGGGTGGTGGAGAAGGGTTAAGGGTTGTAAAGAAAATAAAATCGTGGTTAGCTTACCGGCGCTCAGGGCCAGGCAGGGGGCATACAGTACAAAGCTCATGTAGACCACCTGTATGGTGACATATTGGAATATAAAATCATATTTTATCTTTTAGTTCACAGTATGAGACATGACGAAAAAAAAATAAAAGGGACAGAGAGAGAGAGAGAGAGAGAG